GTGTGTGTGTGTGTGTATATATAGTGTGTATATATTGTTACAAAAAAACTATATTCTAATATGTTCTTAGTTGACGTTCTTTTCGATATGGATCCTGATGGTCGATTACAGACGATGATGGATACAGCCTACAAAGAAACTTCAACCAGAGTAGTTGAAGTGTTAACAAAACAATATCACCTCATGGAACATTTACATGCAATCAAAGGTTATTTGTTATTAGGACAAGGAAATTTCATTCAATATCTTATGCATTTATTAGAGTAAATAATATTTTTTAAATTATCTTCAATTATTCTGTTATTTTTAATTTTCATCTTATTCTTTATTTCTATATTTATAGACCAGAATTAGATAAACCAGCCAGTTCTGTATATCCACATAACATATCTTCTATTCTGGAAACTGGAATAAGAGCGACTGTTACAAAGATAGATGATTTAGATATTCATAGGCGACTTGATGTAAGATTATTAGCACCTTCGGAAAATGAAAGAGGATGGGACGTTTTTATTCTGGATTATAATGTAGGAGGTCCTATTGGAACAGTATGTATAAAAATAATTTAGATTTTTTAAAACCTAATGTCACATCTATAAAATATTGTTCTACTTTTTCATTTCTTGTGGAAAAAATTTAAGTAGTATTTTTATTTTCTATGAATTTGTATTCTCTTTGAAAATATATAAATAGATTGTAAAAATATTCATTAATTACTTTTGAAGATGTTAAAATATTGAAACATCATGTTTTTATAAAAAAGAATATCTTATTTGTTTAGATTTTAGAACCTTGTAGGCAAATATATCAAACTGTATTTTTTGCTTTATGGAGAGCAAAAAGAATGGAATCTATATTATCTGCGATTTGGAAACGTCAAATAACTTCGGCAAAAATGTTTCGCAAAATGCCTGAAGTATTACCAATTCAAACTCACATTCATTTAATTACTAGTAGTATGGTACATTTGGTTCATCAAATGCAATATTTTTTCTTATTTGAGGTAAGATTAACAGTACGTTACACGTATAATTGAATATTATAATGTATAATAATTAAATGTTTTAACATAATTGTTTAAATTAAAAAAGAAAGTTTCAATTCCTTCTCTTTTTCTTAATGATCAGCTAATTAATTGTTTTAATTAATTTAATATATTAAAAACATTAAACAATATTAAGGTAATCGAGTGTTCTTGGGATGCGTTTGCAAAACAATTAGCACAAGCAGCATCATTAGATGATATAATAACAGCACACACTCATTTCATAGATACTGTAAGACGTGGTACACTTTTAGATGAAAAATCACAAGTAAGCACACGTATTTTTTTTTTTTGTTTGAAGCATTACTATTTTCTGACAATCTATTTTTATGTGAAATAACTTTTCTTTTGTATTATTAATTATATTAAGTTTACTACTGTTTTTGATACAAAACAAATATATTTATATGCATAATATATAAATATTGCTTTTAACAGGAACTTATGGATCATTTACGTTCCGTATATGGTCCAATTTTAGATTTGCAAAATCTTGAAGAAACGTTTCTTACACGTGCAACGCATGAATACAAAGCCCGATTAAAAGATAATAATTTGGTAAATGTAACTATTATGAAAAATCGGTCAGATTTAACAGAAAATAATGATGCAGAAATAGTCAAACGTCAAGCTGTATTTTCGAAATATTTAAACACACTTTCAATTCAACTCAGATTACTCTCAAGAACATATCAGGTAATGTTATTCTTTTCTTGATTAAATTAACTTCTCGGATAATCATACAATTATATACAATCTGACTTTTATTATTTATTATAAAGAAAATCTTTCAATATCTTATATTTAAACATAATTGTATTTAAAAAATTTTTTTACAGGATAGAGTAAAAAAATTTCTTATAATGCTTGCATCAGCAGAAGATGTGTCTTTACAATTGCTAAGTGTACGTTTAGACTTTAATGAGTATTATAAAAGTAAAGATAGTCGTCTTGTTGTGCCATTAACATATTTGCATCGTAGACAAAGTGACCAAAGCTATTTAAATTGTAAATAATAAATAAAAAAGCTTTTTTATCGCAAATTAAGGATAGATATTACTTAAATGTTATTTTTTTAACAAAAATTTTTTAAATAAAGATTTATTTATGTTAATTTCTCTATACATTATTTCGTGTGCGTGTGTATATCTATAATCCTTAATATGATATATAGAATAATACAAGATATGCAATTATTTTCAATAAAAAACAAAGTAATATATTGTGCAAAAAAAAAATAATACATGTACATAATATATGTATAAACAAGATTATTTTCATTTTGGTATATAATTTCATTTGAGTCTTTTTTAAACTTTTAAAATTTTACCTATTAAAATATACATTTAATATCCATTTTCAAACTTCATTGCGTATCCATGAAATATATAAATAATAGATATTGCTTTACGACTTTACTATTATAATAACATTATTTATAGATTATTTTTTACGTTTTTTTAACGTCTTAAAGACGTTAGAACATAAAGAAGGAAACATGAAGTATTACGTGTACTGTAACATCGTTTAATTAAGTTGCACTATCGTTTAATTTTTTGAGAAGGTAGATAATAAATTAGAACTTAATTATACGTTCGTATAGGCTTTTACGACATTTTACAATATATATCTTTACAATTACAAACTTTATATTGTTATATATTAATTATTTTATGTGCAAAATTTACGTTTAAATTTAAGTTTTATGACACTAGATGACGCTGTTTCTTCTTCAACATTACAATCTTTGTCTTCCATTTTCCAGTTCATTTTTATACGATCACGGGATAAGTGAACATAAGTTACGCTAGAAATACTAGAAATTATTAATAAATTGTAATTATTTGAATATCTATTTAATTAATTACTTTGTATACATTTTTTTTTTTAAAGTCTTACGCTTACAGTAGTAATATTTCGTTATTTATATGTATGAAAATTCAACACATGTTGCACATAATGATGATTGTATATGTTTTCCAGAGAAATTATGTGAATATAATTTATTATAATTCATAATTTAATATTGCTAGTACGAAAAATTATTTAAGAATTAAATATAATAGTTGTTTTAAATATACAGTGACATTGTACTGTACAAAAACGTGAAATATAACCTGTTATCTCTGGTATGTATTTACATTTCTTTATACCAAACCTTTGAATATTAAAGTTAATGAAAATATAATGATTTTGAATAACATTGAGTGCATATAAATATCGAAGAATAAAAATACATATAAACAGGTAGATATGTAATAAATATTTTTTACATATAACAGTTTAATAATAAACAGAAGAAGAAATTTCAATTTTATCTATTACATGTTATATGAAATTAAATACATTTGTAATCATGTAAAAAAAATTGTTATACTATTAAAATAACTTTGATCGTGTTTTGTAATTAAAAAAAAAAATTTTTGAAATAAGTTAATGTCAGAAAGTTCATTAGGTAAATTCTGAATAAAATATATATAATATATATAATATTTTTTGAAACAAAAATACTTTATCTTTTAAATGTAAGTTTCTTAAAAAAAAAAATTTGTAGATAAAAGAAGTCAAAAAAATCAACATCCATCATGCCGCAGAACGAATATATTGAAAGACATCGTAAACTGTATGGACGACGCTTGGATTATGAGGAAAGAAAGAGAAAAAGAGAGGCTCGAGAGCCTCATAAACGAGCAGAACGTGCTCGTACATTGCGTGGTATAAAAGCAAAGATTTTCAATAAGGAACGGAGAAATGAGAAGATACAAATGAAAAAGAAAATCAAATCCCACATGGAAAAGAAAGTGAAAGAAAAATCATCCAATGTACCAGAAGGAGCATTACCTGTATATTTATTGGATCGTGATGTTAAGAAAGATGCAAAAATATTATCAAACATGATAAAACAGAAACGTAAAGAAAAAGTTGGAAAATGGGATGTACCAATACCAAAAGTTAAGACACAGTCAGAATCTGAAGTTTTTAAAGTAATGAGAACTGGAAAGTCTAAACGTAAATCTTGGAAAAGAATGGTAACAAAAGTAACGTTTGTTGGCGAGAACTTTACTAGAAAACCACCAAAATTTGAGAGATTCATAAGACCAATGGCACTCCGTTTCAAAAAAGCACATGTGACTCATCCTGAATTAAAAGCCACATTTTGTTTACCAATTATTGGCGTTAAGAAGAATCCAAGTTCACCAATGTACACAAGTTTAGGTGTCATTACAAAAGGAACAATTATTGAAATAAACATTTCAGAATTAGGTCTTGTAACTCAATCTGGGAAAGTAGTTTGGGGAAAATATGCACAAGTTACAAATAATCCTGAAAATGATGGATGCATTAATGCTGTATTGCTCGTATAAATTATTTCTGTGAATTGTATTGTTTGTATGTTGATATTTATAATAAAAATTTTGTTACTCAATTCCTTGGAATATTTCTCTAAATAATAACTTTTAATAAAATTTCATAAATAACCTAAGTAGATAATATCTTTATTATAAAAATTTCAAACTGCGGAAAATAAATTTTTTGTTGTTTCGCAGTTACAAATTCATCATGCAGATATTTGTTAAAACTCTGACAGGAAAAACTATCACGCTCGAAGTCGAAGCGTCAGATACTATTGAAAATGTTAAAACAAAAATTCAAGATAAGGAAGGTAACGTTTGAAAAACAACTGGAAGATGGTAGAACTCTGTCTGATTATAATATTCAGAAGGAATCTACGTTGCATTTAGTGCTTCGTTTAAGAGGTGGAACGAAAAAGCGGAAGAAGGAGAATTATTCCACTCCTAAAAAAATCAAACACAAAAATAAAAAAACTCATTAGGTTGAAGAAGTTAGAAATAATAATAATAATAAAAAAAAAACAAAAAACTTTAAATTTTATTAAATAGGTGGATGAGAACGGAAAGATCCATAGGTTGAGAAGAGAATGCCCTATGGAACAGTGTGGTGCAGGAGTTTTCATGGCCGCAATAAAAGACCTATTGTGGCAAGTGCGGCTATACTCTTGTATTTAACAAGCCAGACGACAAATAAATTTTATTTAATTAAAAGAATTTCGTAAAGATAGTTTTTTTTTATAACTCTATTTTTATAACTCTATACATATATTAAATTAAATAAGCTCATATAATCTTATTTTATATTATTTATTATTTTATTATTATTTTTCATAATGTTTTATACTCTTTGTACTTCTATTATTTTCATAATGCTAGTGGAAAAAAAGAATTTTATCAAATGCAAAAAATATTTGCAATACAATAATGCTCTAAAAATTATTTATTCTTTTTTGTTGTGTACGATAAGAATATATTAAAAGTATAACTTAGCTTAATTTAATATCCTATATAAAAAAATTTTTTACATATAATGTAAACTGGAAATATTGAAAATAATAAAAACAAACAAATTTAAATTGCAGTTTCTATTGATCATAAATAGTTTGTATGTGTATTGTGCATTTGGAGTTATCAACAATTGTCATCATCACAGAGCGCACTTGTGTACCTAATTATAAGTTAGTACATAGCAAGTGCAACAATAATTGGTATAATATTCTTCTTATTAAGTACACTTAAAGTTTACTAGAATCATGACTTTTTTTAATGACTTATCGCATCATAATACTTACATTATCTTTATCGGGATATTTTTACATAATTCTTTTTTACATTTCTGAATGAGTTCGCTGCTCTGTACGTGAATTAAAGGTTTTCAAGCTCGGTTTCAACACAGAGAACATTTTTTCTGTCGCAGTTGGATGAATACTCATTTGTAATTCTGTTAACGATTCTTCTGTCTTTAAAATTAAAAAAAAAACTTTGATTATATGCAATATTATTATTTTATATATATGAAACATTTTGAAAATATTTTACTTGTCTAAGCAATTGTGCAGCAGTATGTAATACTCTTTGCCATTTTCTCATTTCTATATTATGCAAACTTTCTTGTTGTTGTAATAAGTGAATCCAATCTTCATCGGTTTTTGGTGTATTTCTACGCATTAAAGCATTTTAAATATTAACATAAATATGAATTAAATACTATAAAGTATGAATAATACATACTTTAATACATGTAAATCCATGATAGTGTAGGCTGCTGCTTCTTCTAAACTCCATAATTTATAATATAATAAACCATTAATTATCATCAAACATAAGACAGCAATCAACAGCATTGAACTAATTATCATATTAGAGTCACCTCGAGTAGCAGGAACTGCACATAAAAATTTGTATGTTATTTTTAAGGTATGAATACCATATTTCTAATTTTATATTTTAATAGATTATTGTACCATTGATTTCATACCAGTATTATCGTTAATATGTGGCAAATTTAAAGAATTTTGTAGAGTGGAAGACGTATGATCTGAGGAATGAGTTTGTAAAGAAATACCAGGACGACGTCTTCTTCTTGCTTTTCTTTTTACTCCTCCACTTCCACTATTTTCTTCACATTCCATAGTTAACGCTTTTATTAAGCTCGAAAAATATTCATCTAATCCAGCCCAACAATTTTTCTCAATAACGCCTGTTATTGATTAAGATATATAATTACCATTTATAAATAAAATCAACACATATGATAAATTCTTACTTTTTACAAAACCCCATACATTCTTTTTGTACTTTATTTGAGCATAAATTACAATACTTGTTTCATTTTCAGAAATGCTCATAATGCAATAGTGAATTAATACAGAAAATGAATCTGCGTATGGAATTCCAGCATTCACGCTTTCTACATCGATGCTGTATAAATGACCTGGTCTGCTACATGGCAACATAATCTAAAAATTCATTATAAGTCAACATTATGTATAACTGAAATTGTTCTAAGCAATCCGTAATAAATATATATTTAATTAATAACAGTTTCATGAAAGTAACCTGAGTTTCTGAAATATGAGAAGTTCTTGGTCCAATAGCTTGAGATAGTGCTATTGTAAATGACAGATTTCTAACTTTTTGACCAGTTTGTTCATTTTGAGTCCATTCTGATTGTACTAAATCTAAATAAACAAAAAAAATTGATAAGATAATACCATAAATTAAGATTTTATGTCAAAAAGAAGTAAATTGCAAAAGTATTTCTACATTTTAATTACATTATTCTTATAGATTTTTTTGTAAATATATAATTTCTATATCTTACCAGTAGTTTTACGAGCAGTTTGAAAATCTAAGAAAAATTTTGAATTTGTAAACAATAAGGTAAATAATTGATCAATGTGAACAGGAAGTGTGGCCTTGCTTATTTGACGACCTTCATGTGGTGAAGTACATACTATACTGCTTCGAACACCTAATTTTACTGAAATCATAATTTAACATTTATATAATACTATGGAAAACAATTTCATTACTATTAACAAAGCTAGCAATATAATTTTAAAGTAAAATGTTATAAAACATAATTATTAGATATATAATTCTTAAATAATATTTTTATCATATACAAGTTACATATAACTATACCTTTTAACTCTAGTTTCAATGAAATGTTGGAAGAATAACCAAGCAGTCTTGTTTTTAAAAACTGTCTATAATAACTATTATAAAGTATAGGTAGTAAAATGCTAGTTTCAAAGAAATTCTCCAATAGTAATTGGATAAAAGTAATAATATGCAACTAATTCCATTATAAATATTAATACTTACTCTTATAGAACAAAAATAGTTTTTCTTATTCTTATAGAACAAAATAGTTTTTCTTATTCTTATAGAACAAAAATTTTATACAACGAAATTATTTATTGACATGTTTGGGCCTATATTTTGACTTATCTTAATATTATGTTTCTTAGATTTATAAGGTAAATAAAACAAATGTATAACAAAATTTACAACTAAATAATTATATGAATTTAATATATAATTTAAATATACATATATTTATTATTAATCTAAAAAACATAATATAATTTATACTTTTAATTTATATTTTTTTTTATTTTTTTAAATACACATTTATTAAACTAATTATTAAAAAATTATCTGATACCTATAAAATTATACATGGCATATTTTTTATTTTATAAAATTAGAATATTAAAAATAAATATATTATATTCTTCTGTAGTAGAGAAATTTTAGAAAAGGATTTGACAAAAAGCATTACTATTAAAAACTTACATGCATGTTTTTCTGCTTCACTTTCTGTTGTATCACTCAGGTCAGTTGCATCAATAATAGGATCTGGTCGAGGCAAATGATGAACTTCTGCTTTTGTTTCAGAGATTGTATCTGGCACTCCAATTACTGAATGTTCTACATTACCACTTTCTACCTTTAATTTAAAGCACAACAATGAAATTAAATTCAATGCAGGATATTGAAAAATAAAAATCTTACACTAATTGAAAAAGCATCCTGCATTAATCTTTGATATATATATATATATATATATATAAATTACCTCAGAAAAAGATTCTACGGATAATCTTGTTGATAATTTCTCTTCATCAGCTGGTGGTAATGGAGGAACATAATCTTCATCATCTGATGTTAAACCCAATTCATCTCCATAACAAGAATGTACAAGTTGCCACATTTCAGGTGCATTCATTGGCTTGAATAATTAATTTCTTATTTAAACAATTACATATTTAAATATTTAGTTATATTAACAATTATTTTAATGAAATTAATTTAAATAAATATTTGCACTGTTTTCTAATATCATTACTTTGTAATGTTATAAATATTTTACATAATTTTCATACCTCGCCAATAAGAGCATTTTGCCATACACGAAACAACATTACATATGTTTTATCTCTTGCACCAAAAGATGTCAGGAAAAACTTATCAGTGGCAGTGCATATTAAAATTGCATTAGGAATCACAAGTGCAGTTTTTTCTTTGGTAATAGATGTAACATCCTTCCAACGTAAACATACTAGAGTTTCCCAACTAAAAATATTTGCATAAAAGCACACATAATTTTGAGATACATAGAGTCTTCCATGAACTAATATTTCACGCTGGAGTGCACATGAATAATCTAAAAATTATGTACTGTTACGCACACATATTTGCAATCTAATGTGATTAATATTAATATTATTATAATAATAAAAATTATTACTTAATACATATCAATAATGATTTACTGTATATTAAAATTAATTACTTACCAACGACTAATCTTTCATCATCCGGCACATCTTTAAAAATACGCTTAAAGTCATCTGATCTAGATTTGTATGTTGGATATAAAACGTGATACCAAGATTTCTTTTTATTTCGTTCACTACTCCGTGTTTCCTTCTTTCCATCATGTGAACTTTTTACAGTTTGGGAAGAATCTGATGATTTGTTTGTCACATCCTGTTGTTGCTACATGTTTTTAAGATGAAACACAAATTATCTTGAAACAAAGAAAATTTTGCAATGGAAGATATTTCCACAGTAATATCTTACATATACCTGATCATCAAGTTTGTTCACATTATTAGATTCTTTGGTATTTGAATCATGATTTGCTTTGGAGTGATCTCGTTTATTACGTACTTTTGGACTAGGACGTGGAGACAAATTTGGACTTGAAACTGGGCTATTTTTTTCTCCACTGCCAGTACATGCCTCTTGAACATTATCCGATATACCATTACCTATGTTCATTGTTGGATTCTGACTTTCTAAGCCGGTGGAGCTTACATTAGTCATAACTTCACGGCTAGATATTAGCAAATCTTCCACTGACTTGTTCCTATTAAAATAAAATTGCAAATCATTCAAAATAAGAGCACGCTGAAACAGCTGTTTTGAAATAAGAACAAAACAAACGAACAAAGAATACAAAAGCATAAAGTAATTCAGATAAGAACATTAGTGTAAAATTTTTTGTAAAGTTACATACATGTTTGTAGTTGGATACTTTTGGACAGACTCCACTTCAAAGTACATAATAATTATACAATATATTTGTAAATTTTGTCTGGTGGATCTACGAACTTGTCACAGTACAGAACGATAACATTACAATACAATAGTATACCAATAATATAGTGCACTATTTTCACTGTTAATACATTTGGAAATATAACATACGCATGATTTTTTACGAACGTTGCGGCAATGATAATCCATTTCAAGTAAAAACATGAACTGTTACGGAGTATGCATCAATTGTCATTCACGCAAACTTGTATGTTCCTATCAAGATTTTTAATCATCAAGTTCCCACTTTCTTATCAAGATCTTTATCAATGGGTATCGCTGTTTAAAACAGAAACAAAAAACACTAGAACACGTACTTCAAAAACGACCCACCATATTGAAATACTATGTCCCTTTTTCCAGTAGTGATGTAGATTAAAATTTTCAAAAAATTACGACGAATGTAATAGACATAAACACAATGTAGTAATTTAGTTAACATCTAGTAGCATAAAAATAGAATAGAATATATGAACTATTTAAAGGATTGAACAAATCTTATGAATCTAATTGTAGTGTCTTTGCATATTTTTCTTTTTTTTCCTTTTCAAATTAATATATGTGTTAAATAATACAGTTAATAAGTACGCGCAGTAACAAAATTTTTCGGAAAAACTTCACGTGCGATATATAATTATAGATTATTAAGAAATAATCAATATTAGTATTGATAGCGCAATACGATATTTACATAATAGTTTTCATGAATACCGCAGATTCGTCAAATAATTGCACGTTTTATTTTTATATTTCAAAAAATTGTATATTTCATACGCGATAAGACGTGTTATTAGCTGAAAACGAAATGACGTTATGATTTTCAGGAAATAATAAATATTAGTGCTTGTTGCATTATCGCATCGCGTTGTTACTCAGTGATGACTATTTCAAAAGCCATGTAGCACAAGTCCGTTGCAAGTAGTTGCTTTTATTAATCTTGAAACTCATCACCCTTGCATTTATCCATTTTGATTGAATTTAAGAAATTGAAGTGCAATTTAAATCTTGATCATGGAATTTACGAAACCTAATCGATCCAGTAGATGCACGTGGAAATTAAATGCAACAAATTCGCCGCATACGTGTAAAATGGAGTAAGTTTATAACAAAATTATAACAAAAGAAAAAAAAATTAGAAGTATTGTGTAGTTTAATTGAAATTATTGTTTCAAATACATACTAAATAGGAAAATTAAATAATATTTTGCGATATAAAAAGGACGTAACCTACGTAATAATTTGTATTTATTTGATCATGTGTTGAATAAGTATTTCATCTAATCATCAAATGTAAATCTAATAATCACGTCGTTATATAATTGATTTATTTTATTTTTTTATTCATGTAGATTATATTTTTTTGTAAATAAATATTACGTTTTTTGATAAAAAGAATACTGGATATATTATAAGAGCATATGTTTTCTATTTTCATTCATCATAATGCGTGTGTATGTTAAAAATTTTATTTTTACATTTGTTCATCGTTAGTATATTATTAAACTAATATCATGATGATGATGATGATGAATAATCAGTCTCCAAATTTTAAATTATGGCAAAGGACTATAATTTATAATTTTTTTTGTAAATAAAATTTCAATTACAAGTTCAATTTTGTAAAATAAGCGCCACCTAACAGTGCAACTTGAAATAAATTATTTAAAAAATACATTTTTGAAATATTTAATTTAAAATTTTCAAGTAACCAGAGAAAAGATTATTCAATATTTTTTTTCTCTTTTTCATTATATTTATTTTTTAAAATTAAGAACTACCTCTTGCTATAATTTTAAGGCAATAATTTTTACATTTAAATTATTTGAAAATTTGAAATAAAATGCAATATTGTTATTCTTAATACTTATACAATATATTTATTTGCTTTCTTATATAAAAATTCATATTTTATGGAGTTTCTTTAAAATTGAATGTTACTTGTATTATTTAATTAATATATGTTTTTTATTTCAGAAATGGCAATCATACCAAGATACTTCCTGATATTTTAACTACTATTGGACAAACTCCTCTCATAAAACTAAATAACATTCCTAAATCTTACGGGATTAAATGTGAAATGTGTTAGTATAAATTTTGTTCATTTAATATGGTGTTATATAATGTAATAAATAATTTTTATTTTTAGATGTAAAATGTGAATTTCTTAATCCTGGTGGTTCTGTAAAAGATAGAATTGCATATAGAATGGTTCAAGATGCAGAAGAGGCAGGTCTACTAAAACCAGGATCCACTATCATCGAACCTACAAGTGGTAATACTGGAATTGGTTTAGCAATGGCTGCTGCAGTTAGAGGATATAAATGCATTATTGTTATGCCAGAAAAAATGTCTGATGAAAAAGTATCAACACTTTATGCACTTGGTGCTAAAATTGTTCGAACTCCAACAGAAGCAAGTTGGGATAGTCCGGAAGCACATATTAGAGTTGCACAAAAATTACAGAAAGAAATACCAAATAGCATTATTCTTGATCAGGTAATATCTTGCATGTATGTACATGCGTTTATCTAATATATTATATTATATTTTGTATTATATATTATATTTATATTTTATTATTTATATTTATATTTTATTATTTATATTTATATTATATTATATTTATATTTTATTATTTATATTTATATTATATTATAT